AGAGAATGTCTGCACGTTTTACTTCTGCTACGTCAATGTTTTTTTGGTTTATAGGTTGAGACTATTGGCGATGCATATATGGTAGCATCCGGGCTACCACTCCGCAACGAGAACAACCACGTGACACAGATTGCACGAATGTCACTAGCGTTGCTCAATGCTATTAAAGAATTCAAGATTCGACATCGCCCGGAGGATCTTCTTAAGCTTCGTATTGGTATACATTCAGGTAATAGTGGTGTAACCGTAAACTATCCCAAAATAGTTCATTGCGTGCATAGTTAGTTTTACAATGATAGATGTAAAACTGCCTATCACTCAAAGTGCGCACATATCTGACTGTTAAAGATACAATATGGGCGAAAAAAATATATTGTTTTAATAAAATTGTTCGATGATGCATGTTGATGACGAAAGTATGTTTATTATAATCAAAAATTATTACAAAATAGTATTTGTTCGAGAAAAACAAAAAACACTATTACGCATGTGCAGTAATTATTGAACGCGCATGCGTATTAGGGAATCCTCCAGTTTCTTCGAACGAATACTGATTTGTGTGCTACAATACCAAAGTTTTTGATTCGTGATCATTTAACGTATAATTATTGGCAACAGCAGATTGTTATAGATAGCCTTTATATTTTGACCAACATGGGGTTATGTTAGGATAACTGTTTCATTTTGCACAGAGCACATACAATTTCATATATCAATGGCTTCCAGTATACCTTATCTGCAAATGGCCGCCGATATCTCGTTGGGAGCGAGATAACCACGAGACTTGTTTTTACCTATCAAACAGTGTTCAATTATATCCTGTCATCGCGTCTACCTAGTATTTCAAGAGCGGAAGTGATGGCTGAAGAAAGTGAACACAAAAAGATTTTCGTGACTCTGGCTCTCTTAATGAGATCTCAGGGGCTATTTACGTCCTAAGGTGTATACAATAGGGCTCATACCACTAATTGAAACTCCATAGACGACAATGTTAACATATGACGAGATTGCTATATGAAAATGATAAACAAAGTTGAAAACATGGCTCAAAAATGGGAAATCAGCATGCCAGTAATCAACCACATGAAAAAAAAATAACATGTTGGCCAGCTCAAACTCTCGCAAATCTCAGGTAAACAAGACACACCTACTGTATTTCGATTGCACCTAAAGAAATCACTGGAAAAACACCAAGATTAGAACATCCAAATACGCACAGAATAAACTCACAGGTACACAGTCGCTAAGTAGTAAACAAAAGACCACATGTTAGTCTCACCTTTGGCCCAGGTAATCACGCCCTCAAACAGGGAGCACCTATGAGAAAAAGAAATATTAAAACAATTCCATTGGTTCTTCAAAGGCATTTAAATTGAATGGGCTACGAACGGTCATTGGTTGATTAGTGGTATGGGACCAATATATGCAGCATACAGCGTTAATGATACGCGTATAATGCGCCATCAGTGGTAAATTTGTTATTTCTGATCAATTCAACATTTATGTTTGTATAGAGGCTGTATTTGTATTCGACTGTTCCTATTTATTTCCTGCTCAGGTCCAGTTGTAGCAGGTGTGGTAGGGTTGAAAATGCCGCGCTATTGTTTGTTTGGTGACACAGTGAACACTGCTTCTAGGATGGAATCAAACGGCATAGGTAAAGTCGGTCAATTTGGTATTCGTTTTTTTTTTTTTTTTTTATAGATTTCCGCTATTTCGGGAAGCTCGGTACATTGTGTACCGCGACTCGTTTGTGTAATTCTGTCAAGATGCCACATCCTGAATTAGCAATATTCTATTTAAATTTCAGCACAAAAGATCCATATTAGTCCTTCTACCCACGATTTGTTGGCATCAATCGGGGGATTCCGAACTGACAGTCGCGGTGAAATCGAAATAAAGGTAACGGCACAGCTTGAGTTCACTGTAGATGTTCTGTGTTCATTCTGCCTTTCGCGCTTCTTTGGTCAGATACCAATTGTCTGAGTAGTCACATTTGCACACATTTTAATGAGCCCTAGTCGTCGTGCAGCCATCACTCGTTATTTTCACGTACAATCAATATATTGTACATGCTTTGTAAACGTTGCGTGCGACCCATGTCGAACAGACGCGACAGCATACAACGTCCACAAAAGCATTGTGCACTATACCCATGTGTACGTCTATGCCAATTCGCGAAACACGTGATAGAAATACGAGTAGTAAATATAAGTAACAGGCGTTATTTTTATCAACCATAGCTGCAGTCGCAGTGAGATCTACATACTAACATGTATTTCTGATTGCGCGATCGTCAACGAAACGATCCAATCGTACAGACTATATAATGTGGTATGGTATGGTATTGTATAGTAATGATTGTACATGTCTGTTTTCGAACGTTTTATAGGGGAAAGGGAAGATGACAACATACTGGCTCCTCAACAACACGCCTGATTCTGACAAAGTTGATACCAAGAAGGGTTAAAGACGCTGTCAATACATTGTACATGTATATATGCTTACTTCTGGCGCTGTAAATTACATAGAAATTTTTTTTTTTTAAATCTCAATTTTGATTTCTTTTGTTGAGAACAATTGTACATACTAATAAGATATTTTAAATGTACGGAATTCATAAATTATTATAAGGTTCTTTGTTTCTAAAAATTCTGAATATCTAGCAGATTATTAAAGAGTCATGAGCTTCATTTTCTTTTTTTAATCCGTGTAAATACAGAGTCAAAATTCCCTTCGTGGAAAAGTATTTTAAATGTATCTTTACAGTTTGTATCCCAGTGGCATAATTTTATGGTTAAGTTCACTTTTGTATTTATGGTGTAATTTTTTTTTTTTTAATCAGAACAACAATTGTTTGTACATAAATGTACATAGGAGTCGTGAACATGTGAAGAGTTCTAAACAAATCAAAGTACGCGGTGAAACAATTTCAATTGGAATGCTCTAACTTTTGTGTCAAGTGAACAAATAAATGGAAGTTTGTAGTACAAAGAAAGTTCAGATACAGACAGAAACTTTTTTTTCAAAGAAAAAAATGGCACTAGATGGAAGTTGAATTTATACTACAAATTGGATGTGATTTTGTGATTCTTGATGTTATCCGAATTTCGTGAATTAGATTACACAAGGAAA